TTTTAAACGTCTTATTTTATACCGGAAAGTTTAATGGGACAAAACTCAAAAGAGATTTTGTAATCAAAGAGTGTGTTATATCGGATTGGACGCGTATAATGTAAAAGACAAACAAATCTTGTTCGACAAAACTAAGTGCTCCCCGGTAGCAACTCACAAATTCAAAACTAAAACAACTACATGGAGATTTATGTGATTTATATGGTTTTTGTTTAATTTAATTATAATTTAATTATAATTTAATTATAATTTAATTATAATTTAATTATAATTTTAATTCAATTTGAAAAAGATTTGTAGTAAATTAGTTAATTTAATTAATAGTATAATTTGGTAATTTTAAAGAAATTAAAATTTAATTAAATTGTAATTATTAAAATACTTTACATTTGGTAAAAACTAAAACTAGTGTTTATTAAGAAATAGTATTAATAAAATAACATATTCTACTAATTATAAAAACCACTTTAAATCACAATTTCTTGTTTTTTCAAACGAATACTTTTTTTCGAAATAATTTTAACGGAATTGAAATTAAAAAAAGAGAAAAAACTGTTGTATAATTCAACTATCGATTTTCTTTTTTCTTCCGTTTAATTTATTTCACATTTCGAATTGGAACAAAAGGCAAAAAATAAAACTAGAAACAACCGCAATAAAAACAGAATAACCGAATAGTAAAAGATATATAAAAAACAAACTATAATAAACCAACAAAGAAAAATGAGAAAACAAAATAGATTTAGTTGTTAGGTTTTCATACAACTCTAATTTAGAAATAGTAATGGATTACTTAGAATCCTTCATGGGGCAAGTCAGAGATTATTTTGTAAGTCTGTTTGTGGGCGATAGTGTTACCAAACAAAACACATACAGCCGGATGTCAACAGTCCCCCTCGGACAATCCTCACAAAACATCTCAAACATTCCAACTCAAGACACTGAAGTCCTCTTTGGTATCACTTTTAAAACAAGAGCAAACGCAATCACTAAAAGAGCACAACCAACTTCATTTAATGACCAAAACAAACCTCAAATCAACTTAAATGCTCCACAAAAGTCATTTGAGGCACCCCAGAAAGTCGTTTCATTGAAGAGAAAGGCGACTGAAAATGAAGAGGGCGCCACACAGACGATTGGGACGGCCAAAAATCCTATTGAAGTTGACAATAGGATTGTCGACGACGCACCGATGAAAGAAGCCGATGCCACGGAACCACAAGCAAACACTGAAGAGAACAAAAGTAAAGTGAACGCCACAAATATGTCCGAGTTCGATAAGTACCTGGGAAATTTTAGTAGATCAATATTAACCGACGAGGTCATTCAGAAAGAACTCGCTGAACGGAGCAAAACACAAATACAACGCCTTCATGAGAAGATCGAGGCAATGGCTAAGAACCCCGTCACAGAGAAGATCAAAGTCTTACGAAAGAGTCAAATCAAAAGGTCCGAACAGGCAAGGAGAGAGAAGTTCTTTGAAGAAAACAAAATCATTTCAATTGATGTCAAAGACTTCACCGAAGAGAAAGCTCAAGAGAAAATGAAACCAGTGGAAAAGCCTCAAAGTGAAGTTAAAGAAGTGCAAGAGACTCCATTGAATACTATTAATAGTATAAATACTATTAATATAGTTAATACAGAAAAGCCTTCGTTTAGTCTCAGCACTGAGCCTTATGTTGTTGGAGCAATTGGTGTTGAGAAGAAGGAAGAGAAGAAAGAAGTTGCACCCCCATCATTCAATTTCTCTGGTGGGTTTCAAACGGAAGAAAAGAAAGAGGAAGTACCACCAGCGAGCAATCTGAGTGATATGTTTAAAACATTTAATAAGAAGGAAGAAGAAAAGAAGGACATTCCACAAGCATTCAATTTCTCTAATGTGTTCCAAACAGGAGAGAAGAAAGAGGAAACACAACCGGCGAGTAATCTGAATGATATGTTTAATGGATTTAATAAGAAGGAAGAGAAGAAAGAAGACGCGCCACAAGCATTCAATTTCTCTGGTGCATTCCAAACGGAAGAAAAGAAAGAAGATCCAAAACAAATTGAACAAAACATCACAAATTCCTTTTTTGTCCCACAGAACGTGATGGGAGAGATGAAATCAATTTTCATGGGAGCATTGCCGAATAATGAACAACAAAATACACAAAATAATCAAACACAACAAACGACTACAATGCTAAAGGATACAACTCAACAAACTAAGGAAACTCCTATTACTCTCGATTTCGGTGGGATGAAAGTAACCCCACCGGCTGGGTTCAAAATTTCTACTACGGCAAATGCTCCTCAAATTACAGTACCCCCACCAACGCCAGTCAATACACAACAAATAAATCCACCCCAAAATGAAACACAAGTCCCGACATTCACAAATAACTTTTTCTCAACACCTCAACCAGAAGCAACACAACAACAACAACAAACTTTACCGACGTTTAATATTCAACAAAATCAACCAGAAAAGAACACTAAAAAAGTGGATGAGGCGAAAACAACTAATTGGTTTGAGGCTGGTGTCGATTTCAACTCTATCGACTGGTCAAAATGCGGACCAAAGATTGAAATAGATCCTGCTCAGGCCGGCTTGTCATTTTTTGATAAAAACTGACCATTTTAAGTAAATGTTTCATTTGGTATTTACTAGTGAAGTTCTACTAATAGTAGTATTATAATTATAATAATATTATAGAATTATTTATTTATAGTTAAATACTAATAATATAATTTATATAGAATATTTATTAAATAATAGTATAATATTATATTAGTTATAATACTAGTAATAATGGTAATAATATAATAATAATAATAATAATATAATATAATAGTATAGTATAAAACAGAATTATTAATAATGGTTTATATATAGTTATATATACTATATTTATTAGTAATAGATTAATAGTAACAAATCTATTTAAAATAGTAATCAAAGAGTCAACAGTCAATTAGTTTGAAAAGCATCTCTGAGTAAGTTAAGTACGGATTGAATTTCAGTTTGGGGAGCAGCGATGTTAAACCTTCTGAAATATTCGAAACCATTTCCAAATGACTTTCCTTGATTGAAAACTATTCCGCGGTCAGCAAGCCTTTTGTCGATTTCGTCGTTTTCTAAATTGAGGTTTGAGAAGTCAAGCCAGAGCAAAAATGTAGCGTTTGGAAGAGTCACATGGATGTTTGGGAGATATTGCTGTAAGTAGTGACGAACTAAGAGACCATTAGAATGAATGTAATTGACACAGGCGAGTCGCCAGTCCTCACACAAACCACTATAAGCAACAGTCATAGCTTCAAAGCCAAATAAGTTTCCAAAGGAGACGCCAAGACCACAGGCATACTCTGATACCTTTTTATAGAGAACGTTATTAGTACATAGCATGAAGGCTAAGTTCAATCCAGGGATGTTATAAGTCTTACTAGGAGCTAAGAAAGTGATTGTGATGTCTTCAGCAGTGTCTACAGTGGCCGTGTGAATATGTCGATGGTCGGGAAGAATTATGTCACAATGGATTTCATCAGAGATTATGACGACATGGTGCCTATGACAGATAGAAACGACCTTTTCGAGCTCTTTTTGTGTAAACACTTTACCCGTCGGGTTGTGTGGAGAACAGAAAATATAGACTTTCACATCCTCCGAAACTATTTGCTTCTCTAACTCCTCAAAATCGATGTCCCAAGTGTCGCCGTTGTGGACCATTTTGTTCACGACTACCTTCCGGTGCGTTTCAGTCACGGACTCGAAGAAGTGCGGATACGACGGAGTGTTGAATAAGACGGCGTCGCCCTCTTTTGTGATCGCGTGAAGGACTAGACCTATCCCGGAGACTACACCGGGCGAAAACATGAGACTTTGCTTTAAGCGATCTTCCGTAAAGTCCCAGCCATGTGTAGATAAGTACCGCGTTATGTTTCTATATAACTCATTTGGTACACTGGAGTACCCAAAGATCCCCAATTTGCATAAATCAGTCAACGCTTCACGAATCGCAGGAGGGGCTTGGAAGTCCATATCAGCTACCCAATGCGGGTGAATAGGAACGGTTTTGTTCACGGGGTATGGCGTGATATTGTATTTGAATGCGTTTGTACCTACACGAGTGGGTGGGTTATCAAAGGACATCAATTCTTTGTTATAAAAAGTCGGGGCCTATTTATATAGACATGGAATCAATTGAGTATTTTTTTGATGTTTTGCTTGATAAAAAACTGGTCTTTATTTGAATTTCGATGGTCGTTTATTTATAGTTTCGTAATAACTCTTTATGGGAAAAGTGTGGCGAGCTTGGGCTTGTTTTCATTTTTCAAAATAAAAATATTATTATTTATAATAGTATTATTATTTAAATACTATATTAAAACAGATGTTGGAGGAGGTGCACCAGAAAAAAAATTCTGAAACTTTTCAAGTATAGTATATTTTATTAATATTGTGTATTATATAATATTAATAAAGTATTTTTTTATCAGTTTAACACGTTGGGGTTTATTTTGTGTTTTTTTCCCAGAATTTTTTTTCATTGAAACACAACACACTATTTTGCCGAACTACCAAAACAAAATTTTTTAAATAACAATTTCACTGAATAATCTCCAAAATTCAAAACGATAATATCTGATCGAGTCCTTGATGGAAAAGACGCCTTTGAATATAAAAACTAAAGGTTTAAACAATCACAGTTCGTTTTTAAAATTTTTTATATCAATATCAAATTGAGTAATAAGTTTAACGTTGAATATTATGATAAAGATACTTAATTTTAGGGACGGTTGTCGGAGTTAATCTTGTTAGAAAAAACAGACGTACTATTCTCTTCAATTGAAAGCATGTATATTTATAATATAAACACTCTATGATTTCATGTGAATCAAGTCAATGAAATGTCACTACGAGTGGCAACAAAACGCTTATTACAAACGTTCTTCGTCTAAGCAAATTGCTATACGGAATGAAACACTCCAAGATAATCAATAATAACAATAATTCGAATATCTTAGTGATTTTTGTTATCATTTGAATATTGAATTTACTAAAATCACAAGGATAAAAATCCACAAAGGAGCTCAAACAGGTTTTTCCTCTTTTTTAATTTTTTTTACACTCGGCAAAAAAATAAAACATCAACCTTTTTATTTTTTTTCATATAAAACTGAAAAAAGGAAGCTCCAACGTGTTAATATATTTTTAATATAGAGTCATTTGCTAAACGTTGTCTGGTCTGAAACGTTGTCTGCCGATTTTTAGACCATTATAAATGGAATATTTCGGGAATTTTTTTGAAACCCCCAAAATCATTGTTTCAATATTTTTCCCAGTTTTTTTTCATTTTTACCTAATTCCCGTTTTTTTAAAACAAAAGTCAATTATTTTTTGTCAAAAAGACAACGTTTATCCCTTGTAAGCTTGGTATGCATGACTAAGTAATGCATTTTTTACAACACAAACGTGTAAATTTTAAATATAAATATGTGACAATTCAATTAATAATAACATTAAAAAATATTTGTTATGGTAAAAATATCATATTTTAATTAATATGTATTTGATTATTTTCCAAACAGAAATGCATTTTTAAGTAAAATAATATTTTTACATTTTAAAAACATAATTATTTTTAATAACTATGTAAATTATACTTATCTTTTTAATTGTGGATATCATAAACATAAATTGCTGGTTACACGACAAAAATGAATATAAATTAGAATGTTTTTAGTAATTAATCTAAAAACATCAGTTTTCAACTAAAAAACTTGACAATGAATTACGAGGGGATGACTGAAGAAACTATAAACAATTTTATTTCAAATCAAAGCGGTGATGGTTATTATTATGTTTCATCAGTCAATGCATTTCTTCTAAAGATGAACCATGGTGGACAAAATTTGACATCGATTATCAAAAATAATATTTTGAGTTTTAGGCTTACTTTTATTCCTATTTTACAATATACACATTTTGTTTTAGCTGTTGTTGACAGTCAAGAAAAAATAGGCATAATATTTAACCCATTGGAAAATTATCACGACATTGATTATGTGTCATATTTAAAAGATATATTTAATACTCTCGGTTATAATGAATTTAATATTTACACTGCAACACGTTTTTGTAGACAGCCGACACAATCTCTTTTATGTGGTGTTTATGTTTGTTATTATGTCACAATGATGATTATGTTCAAAGATTGTAGATCTGTTTTAATGCACAATCCCGATAATTTAGAAGTATTCATTAAAACGATTAATACGATTGCATACACAACTTTTATCAACAAAATTCACACAAAATTTAACGGAGAAAATGTTCTATTGGAAGATGATAAACATCATAATATAAATACAATTAATTCAATACAACAGATACAATCAATTAATAAAACATGTCAAAGAAAAGGAAAAGGCTCAAATACTATTATTACTAATGAGTATATTGAAAAAATGAATTTTCTTGTTGGTATAGAAACAAAATACAAATACAACAAAATTAGTTTAGGAAACGTGTTAAAATGTTATCAAGTTAGACCAACGAGAAGTGCAGAATATAGTGATAAGATTTTAAAAATGTCATTGGATGAACTTATTGATTTTATTTTTCCACCACGGTTTATTGAAACATTGTTAACATATACTAATATTCATGGTAAATTTTCCGTTTTTATTTATAACACAACACATTTAACAACGCGGAATTGGAAAGATCTCGACAGAGATGAAATGTTTGCATTCATTGGTATTTCACTATTGCAAGGTGTTTATAATGATACTAAATTAAGTCAAAGAAATAATTGGTTTGGAAAATTTGCAAGAATAGCATACATGTCTGCAATGTCTCTTAGAAGATACAAACAGATTTTGAGAAATCTTCGCTTTGATAATTTATGTAAAAGAAAAGCAGAAGACTTACACGTTTCGCAATATTTATTCGAAATGTTTGTAAATGAAAATTACACAAAAAGAAAATATTCAAAAAGTGAAATTGACGAAGAAAGTTTTTCTGATACAAGTTTAAGCACTCATTCATCTTCAACTGATTCAACTGGTTCATCTGAAAATGATCAGTATTTATCTAGTGATGATTCAAGTGATTCATACGAAACTCAACATAATAAAACAACATCAACAAATAAAAACATCTTAACCAATAATGATGAGTATTTAAGTTTAACGAGTCCAATATATACATATGGATATGATTGGGATAATTATTATAAAATATCATTTATAATAGAAACATTTAATGACGTTTTTAAAGAAATGAGTGAACAAATTAAACCATCTTCTGTGTTGTGTGTTGATGAAGACTTATTCAGATATTTTGGCCATTACCAAAACAAAGTTACAATGCCTTCCAAGCCTTCTAAAAGTGGATTTAAAATATTCATGTTGGTCGATTCAGAAACAAATGCTGTTCTTAATACCTTTCTATACAGAGGAAGTAACAACGGAGAAGTTGTCCACCGTTTGGGCGAACGCGTTGTAATTAAATTGATGGAGTCTTTTTGGGGAAGTGAATATACTTTATTTACAGATCGTTATTTTACTTCACAAATATTATATGAATATTTGGCAAGCCGAGGCATAAATATAATAGGAACTTTGGATTCAAAAAGGAAGGAAGTACCAAATGAATTGAAAAGAAAAGGAAAGCGCACAGATGGGTCTTTAGTAACATATCATTGTTCAAATGGGAGTTACTTATCGAGTTTTATTGATAAGAAAACTAATGTACTATTACTGTCTAGCACTAAACCCAACGAAGTGGATGTAAATACAAGTGAAAAAGTATCAATAAAACCAAATATTAGATCGAAATATTCTACACAAAGATTACCAAATAGAACCACTGTTAATATAGATTATAACAAATTTATGGGAGGAGTTGATATAGTTGACTCACTTACCAAAAGAACCGATACAAAGAAAATAACAAGAAGGTGGACTTTAGCTTTGTTTTTCTGTATGTTAAATCTGGCATTTAACAACTTGTACGTTATCATGAAATCTCAAATTATACACAACAAAAAACCATCACAAACAAAAATTAACAGAATTGAAATTATGGAAAATGTCGCGATACACTTAATTATTAACAATGTTAAAAAGAGGAAATTGAATCATTTAAATCTACGATCCAGAAAAGCTGTTATTTATTTTTTGAAAACATTTACAAAGAATGACATTAAACAACCCATTTTTATTCAAAAAACCGCTTCTGATTGTGCGATTTGTAAAGAAGAAATTAAAGGAAAACGAAATTCCGTTAAAAATATTTGTGTGTCATGTGGTAGACATGTTTGTTTTAAACACTCTATCCGAATTTATAAATGTAAAGATTGTATCAATCAATTTGATTTCTAAAACAATCAAAATTGATATTTTTGTGGTAGTAATATATCGGGATATTTGCATCAACAATAAAAATAAATTTCCTGTTTATACAAATAGTTCTCACGTAGACCTCATTTGGTTATTGGCAAAAATGGCGACTTGTTTAATTTCCCCTATAAAGCCAATCAAAAATATCTATTTTAATTTGTTTTTATGATTTTTGTTTATAATTGTTATTATTGGTTGCATGGCTTTCTCATGCAGTGTGTTATTTTTTAAAATAATATTTACACATTTTTTTCATAAAAAAAAACGTGTAAAACATGCGACCATTCGCGGGTTATCGACTGACTCTAGTGTAATATGTAATTAAAAACTCTATAAACATATTATGAGATTTAAACATCAAACTCCAAAAATTTTTGGGCTAATTTTGGTATTAGTTCGAAATTATAATAAAAAACTAATAGTTATTGTAAAATCTATTATTATAAAATTGGACAAAAATAACAAAATTATTTTGTTTTATAAACTCCATTTTGACAAATTCAAATATCATTATTTTTTTTAATTAAAAACAAAGTTATTTTTATACCATAATAATCATACAAAATAACGACAAAAACATATAAATTTAATTATTAAATAAAATGAAATGATAAAAAAATCTAAAAAATTAACTTATCAAAAAGATTATCGAGATTGCATCAACTCAAATTATTTGAAGATAGAAAGAATCTCAAATTTGACTAAACACATCAAATGTCAGATTCCGAAACGTTCAAACATTTAAACGCAAAAGTTTACAAGGAACAAGCCATTTGGATGTTGAATGCTATGTGGCCTTCAACCAAATCGGCCAAAGCTGAAGAGATCTGGAAGTTTGTTCAGATCTTTTCCGATTTAGATCAAGAGAACCACGCTTCCGGGTGTTGTCTTGATGAGTTGAATATGCATCGAGTCTTTGAGAAATTGAATTCCCAAAAGACGGTTCAAGAGATGCGAAGTCAAATGAAGAAGGCGGGGCTTGAGAATTTCAAGAAGTTTGGACTTCTTCACTTCTTAGTCTTTTACTACGACCAAGACTGGAAGAAGATTACCAACGCTCCACAAGGCGATAACTCCGAACAACTCGAAAACGCAAAGAAATTATTAGAGGCCGTCTCTAAGCAACTTGAAGAGTGTCAAAAGAAAGCCGAGGCGGCTAAAAAGTCTGCCGAGGAAGCCGATAAAAGACAAAAAGAAGCACAAAAGGCTGAAGACGAGGTGACTAAAGCACTCGATGAAGTCAAGTCACAAGAAGACGCAAAAAACAAGAAGCGCGAACAACTCCAGAAGAAGATCGAGACAGCGGGATTGGTAGCTAAGAATGCTGCTATTCAAGAATTGGCTAAATTGGACAACGAGGATGACCTCCCAATGAGAAGAGCCAAGACAACTTTAGAGGCGGCCCAGCGAAAGGCGGCAAAAGCTGGTTTGTTCTTATTTAATTCTTTTTGAATAAATAAATAACTATAACTATACTATTATTAGATAGTACATTAGAACTATATTTAATAATTAATATTTATTATTATAATACACTGACAATTAGTAAAAATAGCTACAGAAGCAAAAGAAAAGGCTGACAGCGATGCGGCTGAGGCAGACAAAGCTGTCGAAGAGACACAAAAGAAGGTCGAAGAGGCTGAAAAGTTCTTGAAAGAGCAACAAGAGTCTGCTGGTGGAAATGGACAGGGCACTATGTGGTGGATGCAGAGAGAGCTCGATGAGAAAAAGAAGTACATGCCAATGAGAAAGGGTGGTGTAGCGAAGTAACAAATTCACGTTAGGGTTATTTCAGGGTTTCATAAAATCAATTCTTTTAATATGGAAATTTTTATTGAGTGCAAAAAACGCCGAATAACATTTTATATGACATTTTTGAGTATTAAAGACGTTGAAAAATTGAAAACCTTTCAAAGAGAAAAGAAGTATTATTATTAATAAAGTTATAATTACAATATAGTAAAATAATACAAATCAAAAATTTTTTCAAAAGTTTTTGACGAGATTTTTGTAATTCAAAAGTTTCACACGAGCTTCTTTGAGCTTTCTTGAAAGTGTTCTTTTCTTGTTTCTGTTTTGTCGCTTTTCTGTGGAGGTTGCATTAGGGGCGTTGTTCTTGGCGTTCAGATTTTTGATCTTCTCTTTTGTTGTGTTTTCAAGCGTTTTCGTTTCGTTTTCGGCTTTGTGAAGCGCAGCAACGGCCTCTTCTTTCGTTTTGTAATTTATGTTGTCCCACCCAAGGACGTCTTCGTCTGAAAAAACTTCCCACGACCCATTTACCACAAAAACGATTGTGAGTAATGCTAAAATCATCAATAGTACACTAAGTAGTTCACTTTCTTTTCTTTTATGTTTTTAATACTATTTTAATAAATTTTTATAATACAGTTTTTTATAATAAAAATAAATTGTATTATATTTTATAATTTTTTAATTATTCTATTCGTTATTAAAATAATTATTTATTTGATATTATTTAGTATATTTTAGAGAATAAACTAATTAATAAATTAATTAAATTTAAATTAAAAATAGAGTTAGATGCTTTTTCTTCGAGCAGATTCTAACTCAGTGTGTGAGTTGTCGTAACTTGATGACCGTCTTGCTCGAAGGCTTTGTGAAGCTAAAACTGTCGGGTCATTTCGCAATACCCCTCTTACCCATCGACTGATTCTAACAGGAGGTGTTTTTTTCATTCTCGTTTTAAAAGGTCTTAAAACAGCTTTCAATAACTCTTCCTCAGTAAATCCCAAATTCAATACAACGTTTTCATAATAAGTTAAAAACCTTGTGATTGTTTCTTGTGCTTTAATTATAAGTTGGTTGTTTTTCAATTCTGGCATTTGTAATAAATTATTTAGAAGGTCTCGATGACTTCTGAAGTATTTGAGTTGAAGAGCAGATTGTAGTCTGTAATTCTTTCTTGAAACTTGTGGGATGTGGAGCGAAACTTTTAATTTGAAATTAATAAATGAAATTGAGTCGATGTATAATCTATATGGATTACTTAATTCATTGATGTTATAGGTGTTGATAAAGAAGTCTAAAAATGTCTTGAGTGTATCTTCTTTGATTCGTTGTTTGCCAACTATGTTATACGCAAATTCACTCATTTGCTCTTCTATTTGTTTAATTCTTTCAATCAACACCCACTTGTCTAATCCATACACTATATAACGCCTCTTCATTCGATTCATTAAATTATGAAGCGAAGACACAAACAAATGTGATATCTTTTCTAAGTAAATAAAGTCCTCTAAAACAGCATATGTCATTACATACCCGTCTTCTGTACTTTCAAAAGAAGATGGTACTTGTAATTGTTTTCTACGTGGACTTGTTGTTGGAGTCTCAGCAAAACCTTCACTTTTCATTCTCTCTATTAGTTCTTTATCATCAACGACATCTTTATCTGTTGTACCTTTTGCACCTTCTTCATCTTTCGTAGACTTATCTCCTGGATTCATTCCTTTGACAACATCAAATGTAATTACAAACACAGTTATCAAAAAGAGTGCTGTCATTATTTATATCGACTTACACTTTTGGAGTTATCTATTCATTAAAATGTCAATGGTTAGAGTGTAAAAAAGGTTCATCAAATTAAAAATAGAAATAGATCAAATAAAATATAATATATAAACTATATTTTTTTTAAAGTTATTATAATCAATCAACTTTGGAAAATGTTCCTTGAAAACAAATTCATGGAGAAGTAGCTCATCCTAAACCAATATCGATATCATTTAATTAAAATTAACTCTGCTTTAATAATAAAATGTTTGGAACAGTAGGTAAAAATAATTGATTATAATTTAAAACTTAAAGTTCTATTAATATTTAAGATCGTCCCAATTATCCAACACTTTCACCACGTCTTTTTCAATTACATTCACTTGCAAATTACTTGCAAATTACTTGTGTTGTAACAACTGGAAAGACATTTATGTCGAATTTTGATAACTTCCATTTGATAATCAATAAGTAAATTATAAACCACCTAAATAGACAACAAAATCAAGTTCTTGAGGTTATTATATACACGTAGTTTTCTATAAATAGTTTAGACTCTATTAAATGGAATACAAATAAACAACTCAAATCACTTAAAATCGCTTTCTTCGTCTCTCTCGACTTCTCGACCTTCTTTCTCGCTCCGACTCTCTTCTCTCATATCTATCGTGTGTTCCCCTATTCCGATAAGTCTCATATGACTCCCTTCTTCTTTCTCTACTTCTCCCATCACTTCTACTTCTTGTTCTACTATGACTTCGGCTTCGACTTGACCTTCTTTCACTCGACCTTCTCTGGTTCTTTTCTTTAGTACTTTTACTATAACTTTTACTCTCTTCTTCCATTGGAGTTACTTCGGGCTTCTTGGGCTTCTCCTCTTCCATCACCTTTTTCTCCAACATCCCGAGAATGTCATTTGCCATTCTCGACTCATTCCGACTCACCGTCGTTTCCTTTTCAACCGGTCGAATCGTTTTATTCGAAACGGAGACGCGGACGACTCGCCCCGCAAGATTGGCGCCGTCCAGTTGTAACGCCCGCAACGCACTTTCTTCCGTCTCGAACTCGATGAAGACTTGTCTCGCGACCACCTCCGGTGCACTGCTCTCTAGAAGTCGGATGTTCCCACATTTCTCAAAAAATTGGATCAGCTTTTGTTCATCTAAGTTGCCGATGTTGCGGACACACACCGTCTTCCGAAGCTTCCCTGACACTTTCTGGTCGGATGGACAATTCGGTTGAGACACATTGGATACCTCCTCCATAAATGTCTCTGACACTTTCTGGATATTAGAAGGGTCTGAGAGGAGGTATACTACTATATCTAATCCACAGATCTCAGAATTGTTGATGTATTGAGTCGTATTAGCAGAGTCAGATGTCTCATATATAATTAGAAAATAAGCAGAAACTTGGGGGTGAACCACCGTCTTGATTTGCTTGATATCAACTATCTCCCCAAAATTCTCAAATATCCCGTAAAGGTCTTCTATCGTCACTTTCGGCGACACGTTGCCTACTATCACTGACAAATTGAGTTCCGCTGCATCGTTCATGAAATTTGAAAGAAAACGGGGGACTCCACTCTTGGTACTCATCTATCTATTATTTAAATTAAGTTAAATTAAATTATATTATATTATTATATTATTAATATTAATATTATTTTATATTATTATATTAGTATATTATTAATATTATTATTAATATTATTACTAGTATTAGTATAATTAAACCATAAAAAAGAAAACATTTAAGTAAGTTATTCCTTCGAATGGAATTTTGCAGTTTCACATTTTTCGACATCGACGACGGTGACTTCTTGGTCTCCGCTTTGTACAAAAGTGACGTTGATATGATCAATAAGTACGCCATACCTTTTAACTGTATGTTTCTGTTGCATATGTATAGTTCGAATATCGAGAGCTAAGACTTCTTCAACGACATCGACGAAGTCGTTAAGAGTTGAATAGAAAGGAGTAGGTACCAACTGTTTTAGTTTAGGGAAGACACTTTCATCGAATTTGACGATTGACTTTATCGATGACGAGTTATTTAACCAGTCAGGGACTTGTAAAGTGTCTGCTTGAATAGAATCTGCATAAGTGTATGGTTTGATATCAACTATAGGCGTCCCGTCGACCAAATCTATTCCCCCCAAATATAACTCGTCCTTCCCCACTCGGATGATCTTTGCGACAGTCATTCCTATGTTATTTGGCCGGTGCGGACTTCGTGTAGCAAAGACGGAAGTCTTCTCGCCGCGTTTAGGAGGGACGACGAGGGGGTGATAGACGGTGTTCGTGTTCAAGTGGAATTTGAAGTAGACGAGGCAATGGGAGAATTCAGACAGTTCTTTGAGTGCCACTTCGGGGACTACCCATTTCAAAAATGTGATTTTGCACCGCGTCAATGGGGCCATAGACCCTTGTCGTGGTGTTCCATTCGGTTCTGTGAAGATTGAAGAAACTGTGCCAATCACTTTGTATGTGATATATTCCTCTTTGATCATCTTTTGAAGAATTTCAACTTTCTTTAAGGGTTGTGGGGGAATTAGGTGTGGAGACTCTTTCAATACCTTCTTAACAAAATTCTCAGTAACTCGGAGAACAGCTTCTACCTTATCAGGTTGCTCCTCTAATATTGGTATTGTCGTTGGTAGCTCTAAACTTTCTAATAGAAAGAGGTAACTGCTATATAATCTTTCTTCCGCCATCTATTGATATGATTCCTATACTTTATTAAGTACTGTCTATATTTAGTATTCTAATATAGTTCTTTCTAATTATATTTATTTTACTATATATTATAGTATAATAAACTATATTTGTTAATTTAAAAGTTGTTTCAGTAAATGACTAGACTCTCTTAATTTATAAACCAACCATTTTTATAATTATTATTAGTATTAGTATTATTATTATAGTACAGAAATGATAACTCTCCATACAACAGTTCATTCTTCCCGCCATGTTTTCATTTGAAGAAATTACCATCATACTCTTATGAACTCATAAACTATACAATAATAATATTAAATCTATTATTTATTACAAAACACTTGGTGTTATATTTACCAGTAATTTAATTATAAATAAACTATAAAAAAATCGGCTTACCACTCGACGGAGGCGAGTATTTTTCCATCCTTTCCCCTGATCATATCCTTATAGACACCCTGGAGTGCGTAGTTTGGGTTATGAGCTGGGGGTTGAGTGAGTATATTCAAATGGTGGTGAGAGTCTATTCTTTCTAATTTGAAGTAAGGCTTTTGAGTGAGAGGGAGGAGAGTACAGACGGATGTGAAAGCGTAGTTTTGCTTTGTGAGTTTTCCTAAGATCTTACTGAAGAGGGATTGTTCTGTGGAACGATGAGTAACGACACAAATGCGGTTATACCTCTTCGATAATTCATATAAAGTGGTTGTCACTCGTTCCGCCATTCCTTCCCAGGTCTCGAGCGACATTTCCTTCTCGACGGGAACGTAATTTCTATCGTAAAACTCGTCTAAGCACCGCGCGGGATCAAACTCGGGGAGCTTCACCCGATTGCGCACAGAAATGAACTCCGCGACGCCGTTCTCGATCCCAAACGGTTGCTTTTGTTCCGCCGCAATATATCGCGCGGTCTCCGTCGCGCGGAAAAACGGCGACGAAATGATCAAGTCGAACTTCTCGTGGCGCAGACGATGCGAGACGTCGCGCGATTGCGCAACGCCATCTGCGTGAAGGGGAGGGTCGTGTTCATATTTAGCATTAGGGACCCACGTTAAGTCCATGTAATCGACTCGAATAGCGTGGCGGACTAAAAATATTCTTGGGATTGAAGTATGAGTGGTATGGAGTGTTTTGAGTGAAGTAATGAAAGACTCATACAATTCATCCATTTCTGTTCGAATCACTTTTGTTTCAAATTCGTCTTGAGTAAAAATGTACTTGGGAGTCCCTTCTGCAACATTTTCAAGTGTGACCCACTCGGGAATGACACAGGGTGACGGGGATGTCAGTTCAGTGCAATAAAATTTGAGGCGAAGAGTGTTGAATGGGCGAGTAAAAAAGAGGCCTTTGTTGGCATTTAAAATGTCAACAAATTCATAGAGCATTTCGTAGAAGAAATAATCACCTGTTGGAGACTTAATAAAATTGTTGAGGGTTTCATTGGTTAAAGGAGACCCTATTTGAAGAGAAAATAAAGATGGTGATGTTGATGATGTCGATATGAATGAGACGGAAAGCTCACGAAGACTTTTTTGGACACCTTGTTGTGAAGAGACTGACATAATCTATTGATTATCTTATTTCGAGTTAACTTAAAAATTCAGAGGAAGTGATGATATTGGAGTTAATTGATGTGAAATTGGCAAAGAAAAATAACTATTTGGAAATAATAATCAAATTACTTTTAGTTTTAATTAATATAATAATTAATTATCTTTAATAGTAATAATATTAATAAAATATTAAAAATATAGTAAGTAAATGATAACTATAATATATTAACTAGAATAATATTACCATTTTAATAAAATTATAAAAATATTAATAATATAATAATAATTAAATGAGAATTATTAAATAATTATTAAATAGTAATTAAGTAACTATTCGGAATAAAGTGAGTTAGATGAAAGTCTTAAGGACAGCACCGAGTTTGAGGGAGTTAAGGATGTCTTGGTAAAGCTTTTCAAATGCCGACGAGACAAAAGCGAGAGGATTTGAAGCGACGTTAGCGACAAATCTGCAGACAGCCTTTGATATTTCTTGTTGTTTAGGAGTGTCTTGGTCTTTATTTTTCTCGTCGAGAGATGAGCTGATGAGTTTACGGAGGTCTGGGATGATTTCATCGATATTTTCGATGAGTTCGTCTGAGTTGTTGTTAGCCATTTTGAGTAACAAATTGAAGCAGAGTAATTTGACGTCGTGGTCATTGTTTTGTTCTCCGATAGATTTTACGATAGCGCAGATGATATTTTTAAAGTTAAGTTCAGTGATGTAGTTATCGATAAGGACGGAGAGGCATTCCATGACTGCTTTACGAGCTTCGAGTCCCAAATCGGTGATGTGGACGACGATAGAGAATTTTGCGACGGAGACGTAGTTTTTGTCGACGGACATTTGTGGGACGAGTTGTTTTTGAATAGTTTGTAAGTAAGGGAAGATTTCCTTTTGAGCGTGAATGAGGAGATATGAAATGACTGTGAAGAGTGCGCCTTTGACTGCGGGGATTTTGTCACCGAGACGTGAGACGATGATTGGGATGAGTGGGATGAACATTTTCGGGTCACAGTTGGCCATACAATTTTTGATTGAGCCGATAAGTGCGCCGTTGCCGTTCTTGTCCATCAACGCGGGAATGTAAAACGCTTTGATGTATTTCTCCAAGTCGAAAGCAAGTAATTTTCCATAACACTCACTCATGACATTCGTTGAGACTTCGTCGACTTTGATTTTGACAAGACGTTTCATGATGTCTTCGACGGTGTTTGCGTTGATATATTTGAGTGCCTCTTTCAGTGCGTTCAACAACGAGAATGTTGTTTTCTTCTCGATGCGTGTGAGTAAGAGTGGAATGATGTCTGGAATACTTCCAAGTGCAAGTGCAGCGGCTTGTCTGACAGCGTCACTCTCGATTTCAGTTGCATCAAAGAGAATATCTCTGACTTTGTCACCGTTGATCTTTTGTTGTGTCAATAAAGCGCTCGATGCGTAGATAAGAACAATTGCTTTGTAGTAGTCTGCAGATGGTTCGACTGATTTCTTGAGTTTGTTGACTGCCGTGTTGACTGCATTAACAACGACATCTGCGTCCGGCGATGTTGCTGCATACAACATTCCAACCAAATAAAGATTTGCGCGTGAATAGACGTGGTTTTGGATGTCAAGAATTGCAGCGGAGATCTCCTTCTTGTCATAGACCGCAAGTGCCGATGCAAGTTCCATGAAACATGGTGCCATTGCTTCACGTGCGTTGTTCCCCTTTGCAATGTCAACGACTTTTCTAAAGACGTTCTGTGTGATGTTCTTGTACATTTCTTTATATTGTGCATAAGCTGCGATGATATGAACTGCGTCTTCTATTATAGTGATGTCGTTGTCATAAATGAAGTTTGAGATTGGTGTCAGTGTTGTTTCCATAGTAGCTTTCGACAAGACAAGTTTAGCGTCCAATATTGATTTGCAGACTTTGAGTGCTGTTGATTTGACTTGTCGTGTAGCCTGTTGTGTTTGTTTAGTTGTTTCAACAAAAAGGGTGTCCCAGTTCTTCAAGCGTTCAAGTACTTCTGCTGTTGCAACGTCAAGAATAACTACAAGTGCTGTTGCATTTAAGAATGTGTTGCTGTACAATGCAGTCACTTCGCCAAGAGTCTCACGCAATTCATTGTCACTCATCGCTTTATTAAATACTTTCAACAATGATCCAAGACAGAACACGGCTTCTTCTTTGACTTCATGGTCTTTCTCACTCTTAATTAGTGACACAAGTGCGGCCTTGACACTCCCAACATTCAAAGTGGTGTACATCTCAGCACTCTTCGCATAACGAAGAAGAACACTTTCTGTCTTCAACACTTCAATTTCAACACGGAAGTTCTTTGAATCAAACAGTGAGACGAGAACGGGTGATATAGCTGCACTGAATGAATCAACGCCATTGATCTTGACGATGTTGCGAAGACACTCACACATCGTACTTAACAATTCAACATGACTGTTTGCACTGTTCAAGAGTGTTACAATCACACCTTCAAGTGTATTAACATGTGGGACAAGTGCGGCACCATCAAAGACAGCGATCTCTTTCACTATGTTGAAACACTCCATCTTGCTCTTCTCAGTCGACTTCTTTCCTTTCAAAATGCTCTCAATCTGTGGAATTGCACCACTCACACTTTCTCTAACTTTCTCAACACACTGACACACACCACTGTTGACCGTTTTTAACACAAGACTGTACACCCCAAGCACTATGTTCAACACAATCTCAACGGATTCTTTGAAGCGCTTTAACACAACACTCAGTGCTTCACTCACTACTTCACAAAACATGTCACTTCGTTCTTTCACAAGACTAACAAGACAATCACCTGATAGTTTTCTCAATTTCCATGTGATGTCGTCTTCATCTTCAAACACTTCCTCGTCGTCTTCTTCCTCTTCCATTGCATTGGCGTCGTCTTCTTCTTCATCATCATCAAATC